ACTTCGGCATGAATGCTGTAACCACTGGGCTACCCCACCGCCCCATAAGACAGTATGTTTATCCTGTACGAACTTACTCAAATGGAATGACCTCTATCTGTTCCTCCCCCAAGGAAATAGGTTCACCGATAACTAATTCTTCTGGCTCTTGCACCTTGTAAATGAAATTCGAAGGACCACTCCTTCCATCGCCAGTGTCTGCTATATAGATGCAATGTCCAATTCCTTGTGTGTCGCAGGGACCACATGCAATGTCCTCCCAGTCAATATTGGGAGCATCCAGAATAATCTTCGAGATGAGCGAAACACTTCTTGCGTCCACAGCGTAAATCTGGCTTCTCTCTTGTACGTCTTTCAAGTCGGATGCTGCGTAAACGACGTAAAGTACCCCGCAGTGTTGCCGACTGACACACATACCGGAGATGTCTTGGTAACACTTCTCAGCCGTTCCAACGCATTTACGCTTTGAAAATCCTGAAAAGGTAATGTAGTGGTTTGGTAAATTGATCAGAGCTACACATGCATAATGCGAACCATTTTTCTGCATGACAATTTGTAGGTTAACACTATCGAACGTAAAAGTGCATTACATTTCCCGAAGACGCGTTTTTGCGCTGTGCATACGTTCCATCTACAAAAACCAGCATTATAATGGCGGAATTATTACAATCAAACATTAATTTTTGAAAACAATCTTTGAAAATGCATATATAATTATCACCTGTGCATTTCTTTTTTGGGAGAGTATATTTATTATTGCGCTTATTTACCTATTTCCCGAGTTTGCTGCTGAGTTTGTACGACACAGTACGGTAATATTGCATGATGAGTGGCACTAAGGACTCTCATCAAGAAAGCTTAGAACAGATTGATGAGTGAGTTTGTGAGTTTGGTTTTACGTCCTTTTTAGCAATATTCCAGCAATATCACGGCGGGGGACACGAGAAATGGCCGTCACACATTGACCCTTTGTTTAGAATCGAACCCGCATCTTCAGCGTGACGAGCGAACGCTTTAACCACTAGGCTACCTCATCGCCCCTGATCTGTTAATGACATATCAGAGGAACTCCGGGGCGGTGGGATGGGCTAGTGGTTAAAGCGTTCACTCGTTACGCTTACGACCCGGGTTCGATTTCCCCACTGATCACTTACTCAAAAGCGTTCTGAATTGTGAAGGACGTTATCAAAAAGATATCAGGTACGCCACAGTTTGCATAAAACCCTAAACTTGATCCCAAGGCGACATGGCTTCACATTGTAAAATTAAGTAGTTACCTCATTTTGAATAATATTATTTGAACAAAAATATTTACAGATACAGTATCGTGTGTAGTGAGTGAGTGAGTGAGTTTAGTTTTACGCCGCTTTTAGCAATATTCTAGCAATATGACGGCGGGGGACACCAGAAATGGGCTTCACACATTGTACCCATGTGGGGATTCGAACCTGGGTCTTCGGCGTGACAAGACAACGCTTTAACCACTAGGCTACCCCAACGCCCCTACGAATATACAAACATTGCTGTTTAAAACTGGTTTTGGTAGCGCATGGTATGACCAAAACGTTAGCTGCTACCCTAATTTTTTCATGTCACTGACTCAAAGACTTAAGGGTATTACAGACATAGTTTGAATCACTGACTTTATCAATGTTTATTCCATGAAACATTACAAAGGACAAAATATATATAATATTAAGTCGCACTGTACAGCAAAGATATGCCTCTGGGGATCACCGCACACCTTCATGGGATCATGTGTTTATCTCACAATTTGAAGATTTGGTCTTCGGAAACCCATGCTTGTCGTAAGAGGCGACTAACGGGATCGGGTGTCCAGGCTCACAATCTTGATTGACATACATCAATGTCATCGTAACCCTACTGTTAAGGGACCCGTGAAGATCTGGGGTAGAATAGGTCTTCAGCAACCCATGTGCTTGCCATAAAAAGGCGACTATCTTGTCGTAAGAGGCGACTAACGGGATCGGGTGGTCAGTTTCGCTGACTTGGTTGACACATGTCATCGGTTCCCAGTTGCGCAGATCGATGCTCATGCTGTTGATCACTGGATTGTGTGGTCCAGACTCGATTATTTCCAGACCGCCGCCATACAGCTGGAATATTGCTGAGTGCGGCGTAAAACTAAACTCACTCACTCACTACTGTTAAGGTCGATGATATTGATGTTGATCACAGGTCGCGTATTTCGTCGCTAGAGTTCGCTTATTTCGATTTCGGCGCCATATAGCTGGAACATTGCTGTGTGCCGCGTCCAGGCCGACAGCAAACAGCAAACACACTACAAAATCGTTTCAAATGAAAGTTTTAAATAACCAACGAACATGTGACCGAGTCATTTGGTACCACTGAACGTAAAGTATTTATATCGTAAAAATGTAAACTCACCTTTGGCTTTCCCTGTGAAAGTTGTTTTAACTTCATTGTGTCCTTCTCGGTCCCTTCCTCTATCTTCATCAATCCTTTCTTCCTTCACTTTGGGGATTTGTGTTTCTATCCTTTTTTCTACCCTATTCATCCTTTCTTCCATATCGACCAAAAATGCGTACCGGAGTTTCAAAACATCCATTTGTATGATTCCACCAGAGACAAATTTGTTTTTTCTTGTGTCTCCGTGCACATATTGAATAAGAAAAAGGAAAAAGACAATCCTTGTCATGTGAATTTGCATTTTCAATATCTGCATAGATTTGACTTTCTCTAAAGAAGCTTTCGCAATATCGACAAGAACATTTCTGTGGGTATGGTCAGAGTTAACTATGAAACGCTAATCATACGTTATAATCTTAGGACAAAAATTGTCGGTTAATTATGACCATACCTGTACACTGAAATGCTTAGATCCTATCTCTTGCTCTTTAGTGGTAAACACTTGGCCACTTTTCTGGACAATAGCTCGACTGACCAAGAACGGCCATATTATGCTTGGAGATTACATGCATTAATCTAACAATTCGCTGACATTGTTCAAGCTAGCGAGTTCGCAAACGTAAATGTTATTGTATCATAGTAATCCATCTCCCTCCAAATACTCGACCCGCGAAGAGTTAGAATTGATCTTCAGTAACTCATGCTTGTCCTAAGAGATGGGTCGGGATCGCTGACTTGTTTTGCACATGTAATTGTATCCCAATTGCGTTGATCGATGCTGATGCTGTTGATCACTGGATTGTCGTGTCCAGACTCGATTATTTACAGACCGCCACCATATATCTGGAATATTGCTGAGTGCGGAGTAAAACTCACTCACTCCAAAGATCTGTTCTAAGCTTTCACGATGAGAGTCCATAGTGTCAATCATCCTGCAATATTACTGCATTGTGTGGATGTATGCTATAATGTCGATAACACAACCCAACAAACTTAAACTCACCAGCAAACTTGGGAAATAGGTAAATATGCACAATAATAAATATACTCTCCCCAAAAGAAATGCACATGTGATAATGATGGATTGAAATTTTGTTTTCAAAATAAGTGTTTGATTATTATAATTTCGCCGTTATAATGCCGGTTTGTGTACATGGAACGTATGCAGTGCGCAAAAACTCATCTTTGGAAAATGTAATCCTCTTTTACGTTCGATAGTGTCAACCTATACTCATGCTAATAATGGTTATCACCCTCTTCAATATTTTTAATTGTAGAAGGGACGTGCGTGTGAGATGTGTGTGGGGTTGGGGTGGGGAAGGGGACGACAACCATTATTGGCATGGGTATACATGAAAATGTCATGCAGAAAAAATGGTTCGCAATTTGCACGTGCAGTTCTGAGGAATCGTGAGCAGGGACAGTGCCTATATAAGGCTGTTTTGCATTAAACGGCCATCAGTGACAGTCATTGGAATTGGCGTTTTTGAGCTAAATGGAAGAATATCGCGACTCACTGCTGCAAATCGGAACCATGCAATTGGGACGCCTGGAGGCTGGGGAGCCGTTGTGAGTCACCTCAATGCTCACCAGAGTTCTATCAGTCGTCCATGGGACCGATATCAACAAACCAATTCAGCGCAAGATCGGTCTCGATGTGGTAGACCTCGGATTACCACTGCAGCGCAGGACAGGTAAATCCGGGTACTTCATTTGCGGAATCGAACTGTCACAGCAACTACAAACTCAGGTGAAGTGCCTGGTTTGAGGGAAGTGTCGGCGCTAATTCATAATTATTTACGTGAAGCAGGACTTCGAGCCAGAAGACCTTATTTTGGCCTTATCGACAGGTCTAGGGGTGCGAGAACGTTCGATCCTGCAATCTACAAAACTGGCGACGTGTATGGTTCAGTGACAAATCACGCTTTTTTACGTCAGGAACGATAGCAATATATGGATGAACAACTTCTTTAAATTTATTGCAGTATGAGTGACGTTACGGTGTAGGTTCTAACACCGTTGTCAAGCAAGTGTTTATCCATTTATTGTTACCCTTCCTTACTGGGGATGGGTATTGCAGAGGATTTTTATATTGCGATATATTGCGATGCGAAAGCATATATTGCGATATGTATTGCAATATATTGCAACGGTTTTTTTAAAAACAAAAAAACTGCGTATTATCGAATTAATGCTAGATTTTAAAAGCAAAAACACAGCGGAATCACTATTCTTGATAAAAGCTTTAATATATACTTTTAATCATGTCAAATAATGTAAATGCGGCGAATGTAAATAATACTGGGCACAAATGAAACTTGGAAAAGAATAATTCAACATCAACACAGTGGTTGCTATTTGAACAAGTTTCCCCACTCTCAAAAAAAATGCCCTGAGACTTTGCACAGCAACTTGACCTGGTCAGGACATATCAGAGATCCCTGGTCATTAATGAGTACATATTTAAAACTTTCAGATCCACAAATTGCGAAATACTTGAACAAAAACTTTAATGTTAAATGTAATTTTCACCACGATCATTCCCACCACATTTACCACAATTGCCACAGTCATCAACATCTTCATCAACATGATCACCACACAATGGAAAACGGAAATATCCGCGGATTTCCGAGTGTTACGAAATTTTCCGAATGCATGTCAAAATACCAGTTTTCGATCAGCGTATCGCAATACGTTTCGTTTTCATGTCTGAACCGTTTATATTGCGCAGGCCTATGCCTTACTACCCCAACTTGTAAATGCCTCTCAAAGAGGTTTTCTGCTTCAGTGCCGTGACGGAAGAGTATGTGTTAACAACGTTGAAATGAATTGTGTTGACCAGGTTAACCGATATGGTGTGGGGGAATGGCATGATGTGGGGAGCCATATCTTACACGCAGAAATCTAACTTACTGCGCTTTTTGGGGGCAATTTAACTGTTATTCTGTACAGAGACGGAATCTTACAGACACACATGGTTCCGATCATTGGCCGCCAGAGGGAGTTGTCCCAGCTACATAAACCCAGGCCTCACGAAGCACATGTCACTAGTAAGTATCGTCTGAAAAAGAACATTACAGTGCTTCCATGGCCTTCCAAATCGCCGACCTCAACCCCATTGAGTGTTTGTAGTATGACCTCGACCATCGCGAACTTGAACGTAAACCGACGCCCCATACGTTAGATCAACTGTCGGAGGCACTGCACAAGAGGAATGTGCCAGAATTCCACAAGGTCGAATTCAAAGAATAGATTCAGTCCATGACAGAGCTGTTTTGGGGGCTAAACTGACTGAGGCGCTCATATAATACACTGTGATGATGCTCGCACGGTAGGTCGTGTACTGGAGTAAGCTCCCCTTGTTGCATACAACCGAAACTCAAACCCCCAAACGACACTTTCGCTACTTTCTCTGTATAGAAATCTTTGCTGTGAGAAACGTGACTTGTCGATCAGCTTCCAGAAAAAAAACTTGTTTAACAAACTATCATTAAAAGATTGACACAGTTCACTATTTGTTACGTGGGAGGGGCGGTGGGGTAGCCTTGTGGGTAATGCGTTGGCTCGTCACGCCGAAGACCCGGGTTCGAATCCCCACATGAGTACAGTGTGTGAAGCCATTTCTGGTTTTCCCCGCCGTGATGTTGCTGGAATATTGCTAAAGGCGGCGTAAAACCAAACTTAGTCAGTCAGTCAGTGTTACGAGGGAGGAGTGCAAAGAAAGACACGGACATGTACAGGTGTTCGAGAAAGGATGGAGACAGCACAGCTCAGGTAAGTGAATCAATGACTTTGTCGACACTTGTGCACGTGCTTCTCGCAACTAATAGTGAGGTGAGGTGAGGTGAGGTGAGGTGAGGTGAAATTGGGTTTAACGTTGTGCTTGAGAATATTTCGCTCATATGACGACGTGCATGTGTGCGTATGTGTATGTGCGGCTGCTTGTACTAGCCCAGACTTAAGCTGGTTTTATAGTGCTAGCCCACTGAGATACCATGCCGCAGTGAAGCATGAATATCCCACTCAGACACATTATACTGACTCCGAGCCGACCAGTCCTTGTTGTACCCATTAATGCCGAGCGCCAGGCAGGGACCAACAAGTACCATATTTTAACGTCTTTTTGGTATGACGCGGCCGGGGATCGAACCCGCGACCTTCCGCTCTCCGGGCGGATGCTCTACCCACTTCACCACGGAGGCGGTCTACAAATAGTGAACTCTGTCAACATTTTAATAATAGCAAGAACAAATACAAGCCTGGAGTACATCCAATCGTATATAGTACTGATAGATCATAGTGATATGGATTGTACCTCAAATGGAAACGACAAAAGATTGAATCGCTCGACATTAAGAGAAACTTTGACCATTGGAAAGCTGAAGTCGTCCTTTTTGCCATAAAATCGTCAGGAGAGTATGTTTTATTCCTTGTATCTTTATGCATAGGTTTAAATTTTAAACAGAATCTGGTTCACTGGTCTTTTAGATTTTTAGTTCAGGTTGGTAAGTCAGTGGAAGAGAATTGGCCTTCGATCTTTTACAATGCCAGTAAAGTTGAAGGTTGATTGGTTTGTTGTTTAACGCCACACGCAACAATATTCCAGCTATATGGTGGCGGTCTGTAAAGAATCTCTGAAAAGACAATCCAGTATTCAACAGCATGAGCATCAACAAGTAAAGTGGAAAATATCTTGCCATTTTGTTTGATAGATTTAGTCAGACTGAGAGAGGGATATGACTGCATAATATTCGAGGAAAGTATTGAGATGTGTACACAATGATTTTCAGAAAGTAATCAAATGCAACTTGTGTTATATTTGGGAATACACTTTTGCAGCTTCTAGTTTTTGAATGAAACTCCACCATTAGTGCTGTACTGAGAAATTGACAAGATATGTCCCTCGTCAGAATCATTACATTCTATGTCTATCTGACTGGGGTGAACTCGATCACTCACTCACTCACTCACTCCCACACAATGTGCGAAATAGTTTCCAAATTTTGTTAGCCAGTTTTGTTTGCTAGCCCGAAATTTGAATGTGGAAACCAAGCAAATGATTACAAAAACAGATCAGAATAAGATATTGTCGGAATGACACGAGTTTCATGATTAAGCTGCTAATATGATGAACATTTTTATCAGGCCATAATCTTGCATGATTTAAAGTGCATTATAACTTTACAGATCTGATTGAGTGATATATTTAAAAGAATGATCCGATGGTAATTCACTAGCTACAGGCTAGCGGATCAGTGGCTATTTCACACACTGTCCCCGGGCACTCAGCTCTGGCATCATCTCACGCACTCACTCACTCACTCACTCACTCTTATGCACTCAGCGTCCATTCGCTCTCACTCATCTCTCTCTCTCTTTCTCTCTCTCACTCGATCATTCACTGACTCTTATGCACTCAGCGTTCGTTCGCTCTCTCAGCTCTTTCTCTCACACACGCAATCACTCGCTCCTTTACTCACTCTTATGCACTCAGCGTCCATCCGCTCTCACTCACTCACTCATATCTCTCTCTCACGCACTCACTAACTCACTCACGCAGTCAACTCACTCTCACGCGCACAATCATCTAATCTCTTCCGCTCTCGACCGCCTCCCTTGTGTAGTGGTTAGAGCGTCCACCCGGAGAGCGGAAGGTCGCGGGTTCGATCCCCGACCGCGTCATACCAAAAGACGTTAAAATATGGTACTTGTTGGTCCCTGCCTGGCGCTCGGTATTAATGGGTACAACAAGGACTGGTCCGCTCGGAGTCAGTATAATGTGTCTGAATGGGGTATTCATGCTTCACTGCGGCATGGTATCTCAGTGGGCTAGCACTATAAAACAAGCTTAAGTCTGGGCTAGTACAAGCAGCCGCAAATACACATACACACGCATGCACGTCGTCATATGAGCGAAATATTCTCAAGCACGACGTTAAACCCAATTTCACCTCACCTCACCTCTTCCGCTCTTCACTTAGATTTCCACCGACATTGTTCGTATTATCGTTTGTTCCTTTGTGTCAAGTACATAACCAGTATAGTTTGATCACAGCTGTCACACACAACGATAACTATATCTGATTAACCCTATATCATTTCTACCGATAAAAATCGTCTTTTAATCACAGAAACGTGCCTTTGATCTAATACACAGCTACACATAAAACGATAACATCGCTCAATACATATTATTCGCACGCAATCAAAAACAAGTAATGCCAGACATTATTATCGTTAATTAGTTAATTACGGTCGATACAGGACATTCAAGATTGTTTTAAACAAAAGATAACCATAATTCCACGAAACCTTCGATATGACCTTGAATTGCAACACAATACCGCTTCAAACCCAAACTGGTCGTGTGAAACTTTCTCCATACTGTGATATGTGTATTTCGTCTTTCACTTCCCTTTGTGCTGAAATGTGAACACTAAAACTAATGCCAGACATAAATAGGAACACATACGAGAGAAGGAGCGGTGGGGTAGCCTGGTGGTTGAAGATTTCCCTCTTCACGTCGAAGACCCGGGTTCGATTCCCTGTGTGAAGCCCATTCCTGGGGTATCTTCCCATTATGATAACTCCCACTTTGCCTACTCATGAACATAAACATAAAATGGAGCACCCCTACAATTAATAATGTACTGTATCTGTATAGTTAATTACTCCCAGTTTGTCTACTCCCTGAAATAAACCTGAAACCTTTGAAAAAACCCGTGATATTCCTGGAACATTAAAACTAAAACTCAACTCATGGGAGAAAAAGTTATGACTGTCCCATTTGCTCTGCGGAAAGAGGCAATTAAGTGTTTCCGTACAGTAGTTATCTAGATTTTTCGTATTTTTAAACTGTTTGTCATCTGTATTTTTAAAACATTTTTTCATTGTTATTATCTCTGTATATCAAACATCAGGGAGGGGGAAAACTGCATGTACGGATGAGTCAAACAGAAGTAGACAATTGGTGTCAATTGTTGCTGGGTTGTTCCAAACATACCAGTTTCACAAAAAAGTCGGTTTCCGTGCCACAACAGCTACAAAGTTGCTGACTTAGGGTTAATGTCTCTTTCTGAACACACTGAATGAGTGAGTATGGTTTTACGCCGCTTTTAGCACTATTCCAGCAACATCAGGGCAGGGGACACCAGAAATGGGCTTCACACATTGTACTCAATTGGGGATTCGAACCCGGTTTTCAGCGTGACGAGCGAACGCTTTAACCACCAGGCTACCCCACCGCTCCTTTCTGAACACACTGTTAAAAATTAACATGAATATAAAACTTCAATGTAAGAGAATAACCTGCCTTGATTATTATCCTACGAAACAGATTCTATTGACTCAAAGGGCTAAAGAGCTAGGGCAAGTATACAAACTAAGGACTGAAAATCAGTGATGACACCAGGTGTTAGTGAATTGGGTGAGCATGTCCTTCCTCACAAACAGCGTCTGTTGCTGCAGTATGCAACATCCAGGGCTAAACAGCCGTGGTAAGTGTACGAATTGAGGACCGAAAATCAGTGATGACACCAAGTGTCGACAAATGGGTGAGCAAGTGGGCAAGTGGGCAATATCCTGTCGTAAAACAACATGGACGCTGATGTTCTTCCTTGGTCATGGTTCTTCCAAGGTGACGCCATGTCACTTCAGGTCATCTCACTCCAAGCAGTTGATGCACGTCAGTTGCAACTGGTGATTGCCATATCCCATTCTATTGCATTTCCCATTTCTATCGAGGGTAATATTACAGTGCAATTTTGTTAATCGTTCTTGAAATCGGCCCCTATATATGACATATATTCCAGTACTTTGAATCGCTGTCTTTGTTGCCTGACTCTGAGGGTACGGGTTCGAATCTCAGGTGCCATTCAACCGAAAACAGTATCAGAATCCGTACTTTATGTGGAAATTGTAGTCCCAAAGACGACTTTTAGGAAGAAGTCATTTGGGACTCAACAAAAAGTGCTATAGCATATGGTTTCCAAAAGGTATTGTGTATCAGCAGGACCTATATACATGTGCACCAAGTAATATTTTGCTTCATTATGATTTGTTTTGGACATGGATGTTTGAAAGGTTTGACGTTAAGTGCCGAGAGCATACTCACTACTCTGGAAGCAATCCAAACATCAAGCCCACCCGGTCTTATTGATATTTGATAGTCCTTCATAAACATATGCCCATGATGGAGTCGAAATTGCACTACGGAGTGATGCTAGTAGGTTAACGACATCATCCATAATAATCGTGACATCCATGTGCATTATGTCCCGTAAGTCACTCATGGAGTATAAATGCCACAGATGCCTGAAAGAATCACCAGATTCTTGGGATGTGTATTACATGGATTTCAAAACGCGAGGGTTAACCAAGAAAATACGTAGGAACACAAACAGTCAAACAAATGAAAAAAAACAAAAAAACACCCACGATCCTTAAACAATGAGCGAACTATATTGAAATGCCATTTTTTGGTTTACAACGGGTTCAGGTTTGGGACAAAATATGTGACGGCAGCTATGTATCTATCAGGCTTTATTACAAACGTCAGAGGACGAATGTCCTGTATGTGTCAGAGTTGCAAGTCAAGGTGAGAAGATGAGCCTCAAGTCAGGTCGTAGAAATGGGGTCTGGAACTCACTTCTATCGCACCTAAATAGGTAAATATAGTTTTCAAGTACATGCTGGCTCGAAGCGACCCGACCAATGTAGATTAATCCCGGAAGCTGATAACTGTAAACAAGTCAAGTCTCTCTCAGCGGAGATCCCTACACAAAGAGAGTAGCGAAAGTGTCAAGCATTGGGGTTGAGTTTCGACTGTACACAACAAGGGGAGCTTACTCTAGTACAAGAACTGCGGAGGGAGCATCATCACAGTGTATTTTATGAGCGCCTCAGTCAGTTTTCTGCCACTTAGAATCAATACTAGAATTACTACTGCATGTAACAAAACTACTGACACATAGCACCATACAAATTTATTATTCTGGATTCTCCCAATATTCACTGGGAGGACACTGCACGTGGCCCTTGTGACACACAAGAATTTCGACATTGCATCTATATAGCCGATACTGGAGATGGAAGGAGTGATCCTTCGACTGTCATTTACAAAGTGCAGGAACCAGAAGAATTAGTTATGGGTGAACCTATTTCCTTGGGGGAGGAAGAGATAGGGGTCATTACATTTGAGTAAGTTCGTACAGGATAAACATACTGTCTTATGGGGCGGTGGGGTAGCCCAGTGATTCACGCCAAAGGCCCAGGTTCGATTTCTCGCATATGTACAATCTATGAAGCCCATTTGTAGTGTCCACCGCCGTGATGTTGCTGGAATATTACTAAAAGTGGCGTAAAAGGATACTCACTGTCTTGTTGTGGACCACCTCTACCATTCCAACAGCCCCAGATAAATCGCACCAATAAAATACTGATTGTGCTTATCATAATACTGTTAACGTTGATACTATTGTTGACGCAACATTGGTTGCATTTATATAGTAGGGGGACCTTCCGTTTTCGTAATGCAGTGTGTGATTCACAGCGTGTTTCTGTACTGTTTCACTTCATACAAAACTACAGGCAGTCGGATAACCACACGCATTGTTTTCACTTTGTGCTCAGCAAGCTTCAAGAGCGTTATGACCAGCTTCCAAAATCCAAGACCACCGTGGGTGATTTGAATGAGCATAACCCACTTTGAGGCAGTACAAATACAAACAATAAAGGGATGATTCTGGAAGATTTCATTTCAAATAATGATTTATGCATATATAACGATGGTTCCTACACATATTTAAACCCTGGCACAGGAACCTAATCACTTCTTGATTTGTCATTGACAGACCTAAACCTACTGAATGAATCTGAAAGGTCAGTCCACGACAACCTCATTGCAAGTGACCATTTCCAACAATAATAAAACCTGTTCCTCCATCCTCAAGATGGAATTGTGAAAAGGCTAACTGGCCTCTGTATGAGACTCTATGTAATGACAAACCTAAATCTGAACTTTTTGATAATGTTCCTGATGCTATAAAATATTTCTCGAATGAACTGAATAATATAGCAGACGAGTGTATCCCTAAGTCCTGTGCAATTCCACACATCAGAAAACCATGGTTCAACAATGACTGCAAACAAGCTGGGAAGACAAGGAAAAAGGTTGACCACTACTTCCGTCACCATCAGATAGTCCACAATTTGAGTATATTAAAAAATGTAAACACTAAAGCTCGCATAACTTTAAACCAGAGATCATATACCGATCGGTATATGGTCTCTGTTTAAACACAGTAAACGCCGCTCTTGGCGAAGTTATATATCCAAAATCAATTCATGAACACCGATATCAAAGGTAATGGAATATGATCCAGAAAATCAAATGTAAGGGCTCTAAATTGAGCGTTCACCATCTTAAAGATGGATACCAGTTTTTAACCAATAAATCCGATATTTCTATAAAATGTGGTGAAACGTTGGCCACATATTTTTCCTCTTCTAACAATTTACCTCAATTCCAAAAGTATAACAAAAACAACAAGAAAAGAAAACTATTAATTTCCTTTCAGATAATGGGGAAGATTACAATGAGATATGTTCCATTCTTGAACTGGCTCACGATACAGCCACAGGATATGATAGCATACATTATCAACTACTGAACCAGTCACCAGAATCGTGTTTAGAGACGCTTTTAAATATTATTTTATGACATTAGAACGTACAGTGTCGTTTCCGTAAAAATCGAAGTACTATTGATCATTAGTGCGATGGGAATCATTTGTAAAAATGCCATTATAAAAAATCAACATGCAGTGTTGATCCTATTTGATTTACAAAAAGCACACAACACAACGAAGAAATATGGAATTTTGAGAGATGTAAACGATTTTAGATCGCGAGGTCGTTTGGCTCAATTATATTATTATTTTTACATGACAGGTAACTTCAAGTCCGTTTAGGTTCTACCATGTCTGATTATTACAAGCAGCATAAAGGCAGTCCCACATGACTGTATTTTGTCTGTCACTTCACTCAATATAAAGATAAACAGTTTATCTAAAGTTTTCAACAATTCAATTGATGAATGGCTTTAATGTTTCTTGCCGTGTAATTATTTTTTGCATACCATCGAACAGCAGCTGCAATTATGCTTAAATAGAAATAATCAATGGTGTTTGGAAAATGAATTCAAATTCTCGAAAACCAAAACAAACTGAATTCATTTATGCAGAAAATACAAACCACATGTAGATCCAGAACAAAGGTTAGATGGCACACCTGTTGAAGTTGCAAAGGAAGCTAAATTCCTGAGTAATATTTCCAATCACCATTTGACCTTTCAGCCTTATTTAAATGTTTAAAAATAAATTGCCCGAAGGCGCTTGACATATTACATATAAGTTGTGTCAAATTCGAAGTGGGGAAGGGATAAGAAAACCCCTTCTCCAGATGTACAAGGCTCTAATCCGTTCTAAATTGGATTACGGCTCCATCATTTATGGTGGGGCTTGTAACAGCAATTTCAAACTATTAGATCCAATCCATCACCAAGGCCTAAGACTTTGCCCTGGAGTCTTCAGAGCCTTACCGATTCATAGTTTAGACGTAGCGGCTGTTGATCCATCGCTAAAACTACGCTGTCTTTAACTATCTTGTCAATATATTTCTAAATTACGTTCTACTAAATCCAACCCTGCCTATGACTGTGATTTTAAACTCTACAATAACAAATCATCAAGAATACGATCTGCTGTTTCTAAAGCTAAAATCGATCTCTAACATATAGCCCCCAACTCAGCTTGGCAGTTACTACGTCTAAAGGTGGTCATAACATTAACTGAACTGAAAATATGAAACAAACCAACAACAAGATAATGAATTACACTTATGTTACGTTTAAATATATCTTCACAGATGGATCCGAATATGGTGAGACAGTTGCTAGTGCCAATGTCATGGGATCCAGAACAGCACCTTCAAGTTTACCGTATGGCGGCTCCGTTTTTACAGCAGAGGCTAATGCTATACTAACAGCTCTAAAATATATAAATAACCA